GATCAGCCAGGCCTTAGCGGGTTTGGCTCAGAGGATAGAGTGTTGGCCTATGGACTGAAGGGTCCCGGGTTCGATTCCGGTCAAGGGCATGTGCTCGATCCCCAATAGAGGGTGTGCAGGAGGCACCCGATCAATGATTCTCTCTCCTCATTGATCTTTCTATCTCTCTCTTCCTCTCCCTTCCTCTCTGTCATCAATAAAAATAAAAAAGAGGCCAGTTAGGAAGCATGTGTTGGGGGGTGGGATCCAGACTCCGCCTCCGGCTTGCGAGGAGGAGAAGGAGGGCTGCACCCTGAATATTCCCCAGGCTCCCGGCGGGGCGGCCTTGACCCCGGACCGAGTCCTATAAAGCGTTCTGCCCCCCGCGCCTCCCACAATGCCAAGCGCTCAGTGGGAGTTCAGCAAACATTGGCTGGAATTGGGAAACGAGGCAGAATCGATAATACTTAGTAACTGTTTAGTAGGGATGGCGTGGAGGGGAGGGAGGTGTTGGAGACTTGAGTTGAAAATCTGGGGGCGGTGGGGAGAGATGGGTCCAGTTTGGCACGTGTTCAGTGGGAAGAATTTAAGGTCATGCAGGTAGGATGTGCCATAGAAAGTCAGAAGAATTCGGATGGGGCCTGGGAGAGAGATTCAAGGGCTAAAAACCAAGAGCTCAAACCATCAGCGTATGAATGGTAGCTAAAGGTCTGCAAACGAACAAACAGGTCCCGTGGAAAGACACGGGGGAGCGGAGGTTCAAGGTCAGGGGCCTGGGACCCACACAGGCCAGTAGCGGAGAACCTGCTGCGAGTCAGGTCAGGGAGGGGCCCTGGTGCCAGTATCGGCGTCTCAGCGTGAAAGTGAGGGTGGGAGGCAGGGCTGGGGCGGGGCGAGGGGTGAGTGGGAAGGAGGATGGAACACAGACAAGGACGTGTGGCCCTTGGAGACCGGGACGCAGATGCAGGAGCAGCTTGAGGTGGAGACGGAGGCCCAAGGGGTGTTTGTTTTAGGTAGAGGAAGGCCTGAGTACCTGTCTGAGTCAGAGGCAGTGGAGAAGGAGGGAGAGCTGGAAAAATCAGGGCAAGAGGGGTCCGCGAGGGGGGCAATGATGGGAAGGTGAGTGGGGCCTGGTGTCCAGGCACAGGGCTCAGGAGGGAGCAGGCATGGGAGTGAGCCTAGTGGCGGCAGGCAGGCGGCTCCTGCCACTGATCAAGGTCACGGAGCCTGCGCCCCTGCCCACAGCCTTCTGAGGGACGTGAAGCCACATCCCTTGATGGGCCTCGGGCTCTGCAGGGCCTGGCATCCTGCTGTGCCCCTTGGGGGAACACGGTCCTGTTCCTCTGGGTACAGCGGGTGCCTGTGGAGTACGCGCTGTGTGTGAGCTGGAGTGCGGAGTGTGTGTCACGGTCGCTGGTTGCTGCATCCGCGGGGCCTGTTTCCCAGCCCTGGGCCCCCGGTCTGCCCTTCGGCAAGTTCCGTGGCCGGGCTCGGCAGCCTCACTTCTGCCCGGGCCACTGGTTCCTGGCAGAACACCAAGAGAGCACACAGCCTTCCCGGCCAGTCGGCTCTGCTAGCGGTTGGGTGCGCTGGGCACCCTGGCAGCCAGAGCCTGCTGCCCCTTGGACATGAGTGGACCGGACGCCTGCTCTCCTGCCCAGGTACCGACGTTGAGTTTTCTTCTGCCCTTTGATACCGAGGGGCTCCGTCAGTAATGTGGGGAGCAGCTGGGAGAAGGTCACCCGTTGTCCCCAGCCAGCCCAAGACTCCCCTGCCGGAAGGTTGGGGGGCGGGTGGGGGGGCTTCAGGGTCACCGTCTTGGCTTGACCCAGCGAGGGGAGGGGTGGGCTCATGAAATCCCAGCTGGGGTGTCTTAGAGAAGCCCCAAGACTAGCCAGTCTGCTGAGCAGCAACCAGCACAGGGTCGGGACAGAGACACGAGTGCAGAACTTTCTTGTCCAAAGCAGGGCTAGTGGTCTTGTTGCTCTGGACCGGTCAGTGCAGGTCACTGTGCTGGCTCCGGTCTCCTCCACCCAGGGCGGCCTGCCGGCGGCTGAGTGTTTGCCTTTCAGTTACTGCGGACACACTATGTGTAGTGTTTTCATCTTGGCTGCATGTTTGTCGTGTTTTTTTATTAACTTACCAATGCCTGGGCTCTGCCCCTAACCAATTAAATGAGAATCTTGGGCCCCGCTGGCGTGACCCAAGTGGTCGAGCGTTGACCTATGAACCAGAAGGTCACAGTTTAATTCCCAGTCAGGGCACATGCCTGGGTTTCGGGTTCCATCCCCGGTGTGGACATGCAGGAGGCAGCTGATCAATGATTCTCTCTTCATTGATGTTTCTATCCCTCTCCATCTCCCTTCATCTCTGAAATCAATAAAAATATATTTAAAAAAAATAAATGGGAATCTTGGGGAGCAGGGCCTGGACACCTGCATTTTTTTTTTTACTTCTCAGGTGATCGGCTGCCTTGTGGAATCAGTGTTGTGAGCTACAGATAGCAAGGGGTGACTCCTGGTCATGAAAGGAAGATGGGGAGAGGATGGGGAGATGCTAGAGCTGGAAGGATCCTAGTCGCAGCCTAGCAGAGGGCACCCACCCCCTGGGAGCCGGTTAGGATCGGGCCCACCCACACCCACTAAGTCAGAACGGGCAGGCCAAGGTTTGAGGAACCTGCTCTCGCCACCTGCAGGACCAGCGCTGCTCAACCTCATGGGATCTTAGTCAAATGCCGATTCTGATTCTGCCGGTCTGGAGGGGCCTGAGGGGATGAATTTCTAGTAAGTTTCCTAGGGAGGCCCATGCTGCTGATCAGGTATATTTTGACCTGCAAGCATCTCAGACCAAACTTCCCAGCTTCCCAGCCAAAGAAACCGAGGGTCAGGGCGGGAGAAGGGACTCCCCCAAAGGAGCCCACCAGGCTGCTCACTCACTGTGGTCCGAGGGCTGGCTCCATGCGGGGCAGTGAGCTGGCAGCCGGCTGGGTGGGGACAGGCAGACCTGACTCCTTCCCTCACCGAGCTTGCATTCCAGTGGGCGAATCAGCCGGCAAACAAATGAGTCACCGAACCACGTCCAGGCCAGAACGGCCGAGAAGGCCGTAAAGGGGTGAGGTGGGGGGTGGTGGCAGTGGCTGTGGGTAGGTAGGGGAGGCGTGCACTTTCGGGAAAGCAAGCATGGAAGTTACTAGAACCACACCTTTCCCTGGGGTCTCCTGGTTACAGATTACAGACCTAGAACTGGACTGGACAGGGCCACCTGCCATTCTCACTGCGGTCAGAAGATGGGTGCTGCTGACCCTACTGGGACCCCTGACACTGGTCACCTCATGACTCTTCCCCGCCCCCCCTCCCCTTCCTCAAGACTCATTCTTCAGGGCTCAGGGCCTCCAAATGGAGCCGGGAATGCCCCCACGGAGCAGGGCAGGGCAGATAGGACAGAGTTTGGATCATTGATTTGTGATTTGTAAGAAAACCCAGGCCGTTCCAGATGAGGAGAAATGTTGGAGATTTTTTCGCTTATTCTGGAGAGTGCAGGCTCTCGTGCTCCCCACTCCTGGTCCCTCAAAACCGGCTGCTGTGGGCCCGGCCGGCGTGGCTCAGTGGTGGAGCGTCGACCTATGAACCAGGAGGTCATGGTTCGATTCCCGGTCAGGGCACATGCCCGGGTTGCGGGCGTGTGGGGTGCTGATCAATGATTCTCTCTCATCATTGATGTTTCTATCTCTCTCTCCCTCTCTGAGGTCCATAATAATATATTAAAAAAGAAAAAGAAAACCCAAACCAGCTGGTGTGGACTAGCCTTCCCGGGTCCTCCCCGTTACTGAGCAGCCCAGGGAAGGACCTGGAGTCTGGGGTTGTAGGAAGTGGCCGGGTGATTCCTGGGATCCAGGTTACTGGGAAACACGGCGTGGAGAGAAGAAACCGTGCAGGCCCTGGCTGGGTGCTCAGTGGTTAGAGCGTCGTCCCGGGATGCCAAGGTTGCGGGTTTGAGCCTCGAGCCCATGTAAGAATCAACCAATGAACGCGTAAATAAGTGCAACAATAAATTGATGCTTCTCTCAAATCAATAAATTAAAATATATATATATATATATATATACATATATATATATATATATATATTTTAAAGAAAGAACCGGGTCTTCGTGTGGCTGTGGACGCTGCAGAAGTTTCTCCCTGGTGACCCCAAAACGTGGCCCCGGCTGAGTTTTGGGGTTTAGCAACCTCTCTATTAACGCGCCCGTGGCAGCTCCCCCTTCCACTGCCTGGCCTTTGCCTTTACCTGAGCGGGTCTCCCACTTCTTCCTCTGACCCAATAGACCCTCTGCTCCCCAAACTCCCCGTTCAAACACCCCGTCTTCTCTGTTTCCCACGCGCCCGGGGGGTGAGGGCTCGGGCACTGTCTGCGTTTAATGAGTCCAGAAGGGCTGGAGAGGCCTCGTGGGCCAGCTCGTAGCGGCGCCCTCACCCCACTGTCTGGCCTGGGCAGGCCTCTTGGTGGGAGTCCTGGGAGACTGGTGTTGGGGAGGCGGCCAGTGGCCAGAACCAAGGGGAGGCCTCCGAAGGTGGTGAACAGATCAAGTTCAGTTACATAAATTTTGAGTCACACCCTCATTCAGTTGGCTGTTAATTTCCTGTAAAAAAGTGGGTGGAGGTGCCATTTGCCGCCTGGAGCTGGCCCTCCCAAGATCAAAATGAGGAAGAGGACAGCGAGGGGAACCCCACCAGGGAAGCGGGGGCCAGCCAGTTTGGCATGGACCCTAATCCTTGAGGGTTGGACTTGGTTTCCCTTCCTGTCGCCCAGGACCTCTGGAACCCCTGATGCTGCCCTCCAGGGGCTGGGGGTGTCCGGGGCGAGCAGGGCCCCCATGGATGGCCGCCCTGAAGCAGCTCTGTGCCAGCGGCGGGCGGGGGGGAAGGGGGAGGCAGAAGGAGGCCGGCCGTGGGCGTGTCCTGCTCCAATACCTGGCAGGTGTGAGTGGCGCTGACCAGACACCTGTGACTCCTACTTCCTAGGTGGCTCGAGGCAGCCGGGATGTCAGCTCTTCCCAAGAACCCTGCTTCCCGCTGAGAAACATGATCAGCAAGTCCCGTGAGTGTTGTCCCAGAGCTCCCCACCCTGAAACGCGGGCCCCCACCCCCAGAAGCAGTCTTGGGTAGCATCCTGGGACCCCGGGGGTCGAGAGGGACAGACAGGGAGCTAGGGGCCCCTCTCTTCTTCTTGAAGGACTTGGGAAACGCTCAGGTCCAATGCTTCCCGGGCTGGAAAGCAAGGGCCAGGTTCGGGTCGGCTGGCGTTGGGGGTGGCAGGGGCCCCAAATGGGGCAGGTGAGAGGGTGGACTAGGACGGTACCCGCCCGTTTCTGCCTCCAGCCCCTCTGTGCCTGTGCCCCGCAGGCTGCAAGCTCCTGGCCATGCTGGCACTGGTCCTGGTCATCATGGTGTTGTACTCCATCTCCCGGGAAGACAGGTACATTGAGCTGTGAGTCCAGCTTCCCTGGCCTTCCGCCGGTTTATCTCAGGAGCAGGGCTCGGGACGGAGCGTCATAGGGAGCGGACAGAGTGGGCAGGAGGGCTCAGGGCCTGCGTGTGACCTCTCCCTCGAACTCAGCCTGAAATTCTCCCGGGAGGGTGACATTCTTAGGGGGTGGGTTTGGGGAGTGGGGTCGGGTCTGGGATGACTCCCCCAGGCCCTCGGCCAGGGTGTCCAGGACAAGGAAGAGCTGCATCCTCAATGGTTTGTTTTCAAAATGGAACTTGGGTTGAGATGCTCCCCACCCTGTAAGCCGCTGTCCAGGGCCTGGGACCAGATGCGTGGGAGATGGTGGAGGCTGGGCCCCTGGTCTGACCGGAGCACCTGCCTCTTCTCCTTTCCATCCCCAGTTTTTATTTTCCAATCCCTGAGAAGGAGGAGCCGTGCCTGCAGGGTGAGGCAGAGAGGAAGGTCTCTAAGCTCTTTGGCAAGTGAGTACTTGAGGGTGCAGTGGGTGGGGCAGGGCCTGGTTGGGCTGGGATTGAGTGTCTCCAAGTCCTGAGAGCCGGGCGGAGGGACTGTGTTGGTGGACACGGGTTAGGGGAAATCCGTGATGATGGAGAGCCCTTGGACATGCGTGTGGACTCTCAGCCAGGGGCCTGACCCCGATTCTGGCGCCAATATTAATCCCTTCTGCATTCCCGCCCTGTGCTCACCTCCGTGCAGCTACTCTCGGGATCAGCCCATCTTCCTGCGGCTAAAGGATTATTTCTGGGTGAAGACGCCCTCTGCCTACGAGCTGCCCTACGGGACCAAGGGGAGTGGTAAGTTCTGCCCGGTGTTGTGGGAACAGCGGGCTTGCCTCGGCCACACTCTTCTTTAAAAAAAAAAATAAAAATTTACATATATATACACTAGAGGGCCAGCATGCGAAATCACGCGTCCCCGCCTGCCCGCTGGCTGCCAGCTTTGCTGCGATCGGAGCTTGTGGGCCGTGGGGGAGGGACCGAGAGGTGCTCTGTACACTTCATGGTGACTGGTCATTTGGTCATTTAGGTTGTGATGCCTCTGGCCTTTTATTATTAGGAGATATATATATATATATTAGAGGCCTGTTGCATGAAGAGATTCGTGCAATAGGCCTTCCCTTCCCTTGGCTGCTGGCACCAGTTTTCCTCTGGCACCCGGGACCCAGGCCTTCACTTTGGCTGGGCTCTGGCCAGATCCCCCTCCCCCCCCCCCACCGCCCCCCAGCCGTCAGGCCTTGCAGCTCTGCTGATCCCGGGGCTGTGAGGCCTCGTGGCTCCGCCCATCCCGGGGCCGTGAGGCCTCGAGACTCAGCCGGCTTTGGGGCTGTTTGGCTTCGCTACACCGTTTGGAACCTACCTATGCAAATTAACCACCATCTTTGTTGATGGTTAATTTGCATATTGCCCTGATTAGCCAAAGGGAAGCATAGCGAAGGTACGGTCAATTACCCTTTTTTGTCTTTTATTAGATAGGATTCTATTGATTTTAGAGAGGAAGGGAGAGGGAGAGAGAGATAGAAACATCAATGATGAGAGAGAGAAGCATTGATTGGCTGCCTCCTGCACACCTCCTACTGGGGATGGAGCCTGCAACCCGGGCAAGTGCCCTGACTGGGAATCGAACCGTGACCTCCTGGTTCATAGGTCAACGCTCAACCACTGAACCACACTGGCCGGGCAGGCGGCCACACGCTTCTTAGTGTTCGCCACCCGCAGTCCCAGGGGCAGGGGCCGAGCAGGCAGGCAAAGCTCTGAGGGGTGGAGGGGGGAGAACGCAGCCTTCACGAGGCTGGCTCCTGTCCTCAGCCCCTTCCATCGGTTCCTTTTGCAGAAGACCTGCTCCTCCGGGTCCTAGCCATCACCAGCTACTCCATTCCGGAGAACCTCCAGAGGTAAGGGGACTGCCCCCTGTTACTCGGGTCCGAGTGCCTCTCCTTCCCTCCCCCCCTCCATGAAACAGCCAGGCCCAGCACCTCCCATTGAGCCTTCCTGCCTCTGGTCCCCGGTGGCCAATTTGACCTGTCTTCCCAGCCTGCCCGTCTCCAGGGAGGCAGGGACATCGGTCCCCACAGCAACTGAGCCTGGGCACCTGGAGCAGGCAGAGGCTGTTGCCATGGCAACCGGCAGGCCCGGGCAGCAGGCGAGGGGCCTCTGAAAGGGGGTTACTTATTGGTACTCCTCAGTCGTCTTCACGTCTCCCCTCCTCTCTTTTCCATCCTCTGCTGAGTTTCCTCTTTGGTAATAGAACCCGGGGCTCAGAGTCAGCAGGGCCATAGGCCAGGACTCCGTGCAGATGGCTGGTCCATGGGGACCGGGGCCGAGGGGGCCCGGGGAAGGGTTCCGGGCCAGGCCAGGCAGACCCAGGGCGGGAGCAGCGCCTGCTTCTGTGTCTGAGCCCCCTCTGCCCCCCGCAGCCTCAAGTGCTGCCGCTGCGTGGTGGTGGGCAACGGGCACCGGCTGCGCAACAGCTCGCTGGGAGAGGCCATCGACAAGTACGACATGGTCATCAGGTCTGTGTGCCCTCGCCGCCTTCTCGTGTTTGGGGGCGGCTGTGGACGGGCCCCGCGGGGCCCTGGGTGATGGCGTCCTCCTCCCACACCCCCCCCCAGGTTAAACAACGCCCCCGTGGCTGGCTACGAGGGCGACGTGGGCTCCAAGACCACCATGCGTCTCTTCTACCCGGAGTCCGCCCACTTCAACCCCAAGGTGGAGAACAACCCCGACACACTCCTCGTCCTGGTCGCTTTCAAGGCGATGGACTTCCACTGGATTGAGACCATCCTGAGCGACAAGAAGCGGGTAGGTGGGGCGGCGTGGGGGTGGGGACACGGAGCCAGGCCCTCCTGTTGTGCGGCGTCTGCTCTGCGGTCCTGGAGCTGGGGAGGGAGGGAGGGAGGGAGTTCGGGAACTCGGTCTCCGCAGCTTCTGATGGCCCTCTGGGCAGCCCGAGCCCACATGCCCATAGGAGCCAGGTGGCAGCCAAGGACCCCCCGAGCTCGAGGCTGCAGGAGCTGGTCAGGACTCATCTCCAGGCAGGGGCAGGTTAGGACAGTTGAGATCTGGCCCTTCCAGGAGAAACTTCCAGAAGGTCCACTGTGTCCCTTTGCCATCCAGTCACACACCCAGCTGTCCAGCCTGGCGTTTTGCCAAGTGTTTACACAACCCCCAACTCGAACCCATCCACCTATGGGAGATCCTTGGAAGCGGGAATGGCTGGACCTCGTACTCGACACACAGTATCCCCTGGCCTCCCCTGGGGGTGTCCCCCCGTCTCCCTGCCCCGCTGGTCTCCCTTCCTGTCTGTGGTGCAGGCCGGCACCTCCCTCTCCTCACCCTGGGGGTCTCTCCATCACATGGACCCCAGCCCCTGGCTGAGGACACCGGGCTGGACTTGCAAACAGGTCTTCGCTCGCCCCCATCTCTTCCTTCCAACCTCATCCCCCACCCCCCCCCCACCAGGTGCGGAAGGGCTTCTGGAAGCAGCCTCCCCTCATCTGGGACGTGAACCCCAAACAGATTCGGATTCTCAACCCCTTCTTCATGGAGATCGCAGCTGACAAACTGCTGAGCTTGCCAATGCAGCAGCCACGCAAGATTAAGCAGGTGAGGGTGCGGCTGGCCAGCCCGGGGGTGGGGGACACGGGTGGGAAGGAGAGGGGAGCGTATTAGCAGAGATCACAACTCCCATCGGAATAGCACCTGTGGCAGCCGGGACCCAGCCTTGGGGCGCCCACCTGTAGTCGGGTTTATTAGCTCGCCCGCTACAGCCAGGGAGCGCACAAGCTTGAGAACCGCAGGGCATCTCCAAGGTGGAGAGGTGTGGGAGGGTATTTACAGGCCCGGGGGCTGGAGTTGGAGGATGGTTTTGGCAGGCACTGGCCAGAATCTGTGAACTGGTGCATTGCTGGGACAGTCGTCGCCTTCTCTTTAGAGCAGTGGTTCTCAACCTCCCTAATGCTGTGACCCTTTCATACAGTTCCTCATGTTGTGGGGACCCCCAACCATAAAATTATTTTCGTTGCTACTTCATAACTGTAATGTTGCTACTGTTATGAATCGTCATGTAAATATCTGATAGGCAGGATGTATTTTCATTGTTACAAATTGAACATAATTAAAGCATAGTGATGAATCACACAAAACAATATGTGATTATATATGTGTTTTCCGATGGTCTTAGGCGACCCCTGTGAAAGGGTCGTTCGACCCCCAGAGGGGTCGCGACCCACAGGTTGAGAACCGCTGCTTTAGAGCAAGTCAAGCCTGTGCAGTTGCTGTTACATCATCTTACCTGTGACCTCACACTTAGGTCTGAGTAAGTTTGGAATTGGAGCGTCCAGTTCGCCTTGCACATCATAGTCAAGTTTTGCAGTCATGATGCGGTTTTGCAAGGGCTGGTTGTAGCTCTCAGGGTCCTTAGTGGCCTTCGGCTGGTGGGCTTTAGCTTGTAGCTCCCCGAGTCTCACGCCCGTGTCTTCTGAGCCCCCGAGAGGCAGCGTGGGCACGGGGACAGAGGTAACCAGCAGACACAGGCAGGACTCGCTGTGCCGCTTCCTGGGTGGCCGCGGGCAAGGCAACCCCTCGGAGCCTCTGTTTCCTTATCTGTCTGGTGGGGGTAAAATCACTGCCGACCTCCGAAGGCCGTTGCAGGATCTGAAAAGATCATCTTGACGCAGGCCCAGCACGGAGACGGGTACACAGTGGATGCTCAATGAGTATTTGCCACATTTTGAATGGATGGTGTTATTATTTACTGAGTATCGACCGTGATTCAGCTTCAGAAGTTGAGTGCCTGCTTTCGTGCTTGCTGAGTGCCGGGCCCCACGTCCGCACGTGGGGAGTAAGACACACTCCTCGCCCTGAGGACGCTCGGGCCAGCAGAGTACACATAGGTAGCAACGGGAGGAGCCAGTGCCCTAGCTGAGTTGTTCCAAGTGCTGCGGGACCTCGGAGAAGGGGCATGCCCCCCCCGCCACCACCGCCCCCCCCCCCAGGAGGTGGTGCTGGATTGGCCCTTGAGGGCCCATCAGGCAGAGACCTGGGGAGAGGTAGGTCATTTGACAATCAAACATTCCCTGGCCCTGGGTTCTGTTGCAAGTAGAGTGGAGAGGTTTTATGCCCCTTACGGGGCACGGAGCAGAAGTGAAGGCAAGAGAAAGGAAGGACCCAAACCAGCTCCTGTCATAGGTAGGAAGAGGCGCATAAGGGAAGGTCTTGATGGATATTCGTTTCCTGTCACTGCCTAACAAATGTCCACCGTTTAGCGGCTTAAAATAGCACCACGTATCCGCTCCTAGTCCCGGAGGTCAGAAGTCCAGCTCAGGGAGGCTGGGTTCTCTGCCTAGGGTAGGTATGCGGGTGCCCCCCGCCCCCGCCCCTCCACCCCCGTGTGCGAGAGTAGAGTGCTCCCATTGATGTCTGTGTCTTTATTTCTTTCACGATAATCAAAATACTAACGAGGTCCAGTTTTACGCGAAGCTTAGCACCCTTACGAGCTCTCTTAGGCTGCGCGGATGCCGGAGGCCACATCTTGCTCACGATGCACAGAGCGGACCTAGCTAGAGCCCAGATGCTCAGAGGCGGTTCAAAGCTCTGGCAGTTGGACGCTGGGTGTGGTTCTGGGGGAAGGAGCTTGGCGGGGCCACTCGCTGCAAAACAAATGCTGAAGGCCGGGTTTGCCCTTCGCCGTTTTTCATTAAAGCGAGAATCCGCTTCGAATGTCTCTTGGTTCGCGACCCCAGGTGCTGTGGTGGGTCTTTTGTAAAAGCGAAGCGGCATCACATGACCTTTTGGAGAGCGGGGAATAGCCGTACAAGCCTGGAACCAAGTTGGCAGCTGGACTGAGTTCCTTCCTGTCTGGAGGCTGGAGGGTGAGGGAGGGTTTTTTTTTAAAGTATATTTTTATTGATTTCAGAGAGGAAGGGAGAGGGAGAGAGGGATAGAAACATCAATGATGAGAGAGAATCACTGATCGGCTGCCTCCTGTACACCCTACACTGGGGGATCGAGTCCACAACCTGGGCACATGCCTTGACCAGGAATCGAACCCTGATCTCCTGGTTCATAGGTCGATGCTAAACCACTGAGCCACACCAGCTGGGCCCAAGCTCATTCTCGTGGGAGGAATTCAGTTCCTGTAGTTGCAGGACCAACGTCCCATTCTCTTGCTGGCTCTCACCCAGGGCAGCGGGGAGCACCCTCAGCTCTTGGAGGCTGCCCGTATTCCTTGCCTTGCACCTCCCTCCATCTTCAGACCACCCCCAGCATGATAATTCTTCTTGTGCTTCCCATCGCTGACTCCCTGCCCTGCTCAGCTCTAGACCTGGATGTACAAGCTCATGAATGCGGTCAAGCCCACCAGGATTGTCGCTCTAACGGCCCACTGTGCCATCTAAAGCCAGAGACCAGTGATGGCGAACCTTTTGAGCTCGGCGTGTCAGCGTTTTGAAAAACCTTAACTTAACTCTGGTGCCGTGTCACCTATAGAAATTTTTTGATCTTTGCAACCATAGTAAAACAAAGACTTATATTTTTGATATTTATTTTATATATTTAAATGCCATTTAACAAAGAAAAATCAACCAAAAAAATGAGTTCGCGTGTCACCTCTGACACGCGTGTCATAGGTTCGCCATCACTGCCAGAGACCATACTGTTATGGATCTCATCCTAGCCATAGTTTCCACGCACGCCCACGGGCGAGGATCCCTGGGAGTGGTCTTCAAATTCTCCTGCGACAACATGCATTGTTCAGGTGAAATGGAGAGATCTGTGACAGTTCTAGGTTTCCAGCTTGGACAACGGGGTGGGCAGTCATAGGTGTAACTAATCCAGGGGACACAGCGGGGGAGGGAGCTTGGTGCGTTCAGGAGCCCTGTCCAGGCAGAGCTGGCCAGAAGGCGATGGGAATGTGGTTCGGCCAAGTTCTGCAGAGGAGGAGATAACAGTGGTGGTTAAGGCGCCGGGGGGAACGGGAGGCCCAGGCAGGAAGTGGCAGATGACACGACCGCCGAGCTCAGAAAGACTCTGGAAACCCCCGCTGCACGAGGCCTGGCCGGCTGACGTGGTCTGGAGGCCGAGCAGGGAAGGGAGATGGGTGAGGTTCCGACACAGGCCGTCCCTCTCTGTGGAAGAACTGGGGATGGAGAACGGGAGGTCGTTAGAGCAGCCCTTAGGGTGGACGGGAAAGTCTGGCATCCCCATTTCACAGAGGGGTGAGCCCACCTCATGAGGGTGCACTGTCCGTGAACACGGGGTCCCAGGTCTCCCGAAAGAGGTGCGGCCCTCCAAGGCTCAGAGCAGAACCTTCCTTTCCACTCCTTCAGGAGTCGTAAGCCTCGGTTTCCCCATCTGTACTAGGCAGTATGGTAGCTATGAGCCACATATGGCCATTTCAGTTTCAGTTAAATGAAATGAAAAATTCAGCCCTGGCCGGTTTGGCTCAGTGGATAGAGGGTTGGCCTGTGGACTGAAGGGTCCCGGGTTCGATTCCAGTCTGGCACATGCCCTGGTTGTGGGCTCGATCTCCCCGTGGGGGAGCATGCAGGAGGCAGCCGATCAATGATTCTCTCTCATCATTGATGTTTCTATTTCTCTCTCCCTCTCCCTTCCTCTCTGAAATCAATAAAAATATATTGGAAAAAAAGAGATTAGCCTAGCTACACTAATAAAAGAGAAAGATGCAAATTGACTGTACCTTCACAACACCCACCAGCCAATCAAGAGTGAGTATGCAAATTAACCCAACAAAGATGGTGGGTTAATTGGCATATGCAGGCGCCAAGCGGCTGGGGGTGGGGTGGGAAGGCGGAAAGGTGGCCCGCGAAGGCAGTACCAGCAGCCAGGGGAAGGAAGGCCCATTCTTGCACAAATCTTTATGCATCGGGCCTCTAGTATTATATATATTTTTTAAAAAGAGAAATGAACAATTCAGTCCCTCGGCGCCATGAGCCCTGTCTACTCACTCACTTGCCAGCTGTGCTCGTGGCACAGTTCTGTTGCAGAGGCCACCCTAACGGTGCCCAAAGGGGCGGACCCCTCTAACACCCTCCCCACCCCTGCTCCTCAGAAGCCCACCACAGGCCTGCTGGCCATCACCCTGGCCCTCCACCTCTGCGACATGGTGCACATTGCCGGCTTTGGCTACCCGGACGCCCACAACAGGAAGCAGACCATTCACTACTACGAGCAGATTACGCTAAAGTCCATGGCGGTAAGTGGCCCCCGCCTGCCAGCTGGGAGGGGCAGACCAGCCTGGGACCTGGGTGAGTGACGGGTTCCCGGGGCCCAGAGGTGGCTCCTGGTGGTGAGGTCCTTCAGAGTCAGAACCGGCACTGGACTCCAGATGGCCTTGCTTCTCAGAGGCGGCGCGGGGAAGGGAGCTCCCGGGGTGCGGGGCTGTGGGAGGGCCAGGAATGTCACCATCATCCCTCAGTTTGCTTCCTTGGCTGCCTTCGCAGGGCTCAGGTCACAACGTCTCCCAGGAGGCCCTGGCCATCAAACGGATGCTGGAAATCGGAGCAGTCAAGAACCTCACTTACTTCTGACTTGGGCAGGAGCTGCACCCATCGGTCTGCCCACTCTGCTACCTGAGCAGCCCCCAGCCATAGCTGTGGGGGTGCCTGTGCTAGCATGGCCAGCTTGGACTCCCCCTCGCCTGTGTGTGTGGGGGGTCCCAGGACTGGCCAGGCCCAAGAGGGGGCCATGCCCGGCTGCTCTGTGGAGGCCAGCTCGCCAGGATGGAGGCCGGGAGCGGTGGGAGCCCAGTGGAGGAATGGGGCCCGCGGCTGCCTGTCCGTGCTGGGAGGTTATTTAATGGGCTATTTAATTAACGGGAAGGAAGTGCTGTGGGCTGGTCCCGTGGCATCCAGAAAAGGGGCATATACAGTGTCCGGACCATTTTTTATAAAAACACAAACAAGATGGGCCCACTGAGGCCTAGACCCAGAGCAGGCCTCCCCGGAGGGGGGTTGTCTGGAGCGGGTGGGGGTCCTCCTGAGAGGGGCTGCTCCTCCCAGCGGGCATGGGAAGAGCAGTGGTGGGGTGTTCCCTGGGGAAGGAACCTCATCTAGAAAAGAGGTACCAAACAAATTAAACTATTTTTCCTAAAACAAAGCAGTTGTGATAACCGGTGTCCTTTCAGATGAGGGGCGGGGTGCGTGGGTGGGTGGTGGGCTGCAGCAGTGGGTCGCTCTCTGGCAGTGGGCAGGCTCATTAAAGACCCATGGGACCCAGAGCAGGCCACGGTCACTCAGGAAATTCACTTTTGAGGCCAGTGCTTGGAGCCAAGCCATACATTGTCACAGTGGCGTAGGAGGCAAGCAGGTGGTGCCCAGAGCAGCCCTACCTGCCAGCCATCCAGCTGGCATCCTGCATCCTGGTTTACTTCCTAGGGGTAGGGAGGGGCAGGAGGATGCCCAATAGGAGGGGCAGGACCCTCTCCCACTTTCCTTCCTTTCCCTCACCAGCGTGTACTTTCAAAAGCCCCATGCAGGGCGATGTCTGAGGACAGGGGTGGAGTCAGAGGAAGCCAAGTTTTCCTTCTCAGATTAACTGGGAATCATAAAACGGAGTTGACAGAAGGTCCTGCCAAGATCGGGATGGGCAGGGCCTGGGTAGCAGCTAAGGGATTTGGCAAGGCCTGCCAGCCAGTTGCCAGGCGGGGGGTGGGGTGGGGTGGGGTGGGGGTGCGGTGTGAAATGCTCCTCCCTCCCCCTCCAGGTCTCTAGAATCATGATGGTCTTGCCATTTGTCCGTCTCTCCCCTCTGTGTTCTCCATCTTTCCAAGCCCTGCTGAGCTGCCAGCTGGGCTTCCTGCCACCCACAGCTGTTTCTTTACATCTGGAGCCAGGAGGGAGCGCTCGGACACCCCCCCCCCCCAGCCCCAGGGAATGGGGCTCACAGCTGTGTGCCTGGCTTTCTCGGAAAGAGTTGCAGCCTTGAGGCTTTGAGGCTGGGCTGGGAAAGGACAGATAGAACAGGGCAGAGATTGGGAGGATCAGGGGAAAGTGACACTTCTTGACAGGGTTGGCGTGGCCTGGGGAACACCCACGGAACGGTCCCGAGGACCCTGCAGCGGGTGGAACGTGGCAGAAAGACTTGCTAGCTGCTCTCCCTCCAGGGGAGAGGGGGGAGTTCGGAAAGCAAATAGGGCCCCGCATCTGCAGCCGCACAAGGGCTTTTGCTGGGGGGGGAGGGGGGCGGGGAGTGTGGAGCGTGTGGGGGGTGTCCTCTTGCTGAAGCCTGTGAGCACAGGGGCAGGGATCTCAGCCCTTCTTGTCCCCGATGCTTCCCCAGCTGCTTCTCACAAGGGGATGCAAAGGAGTATCGATTTCCCCATCCAGGGCCATTGAAAGTGTCTGTCAGCACATATGATCCAGCTGTCCTAGCCTGGGGTCACTGTCCGTCACTGAAACGCCTAAACTTCAGCCAGAATCCACTACATGGATGGTCCGACTCCCCAGATGCACCACACGTGTTTGCACGTGCACACACACACACACACACACGCACGCATGCCTATAGTCATGGGAGCATTTCACATTCTTGTTGGGTTATGCCTGTGAGGGCATACACATTCCTTCATGACTGCATACAGACAAGAGTGTGTGCGGGGATGGGGTGCCCACACCCAAAGCGTCCACTCTTCCCTCGGGGTGTGGGCTCAGCTTTCTCCCGGGTGCAGACTGAGGCAGCGCTGGCCACGAGTCGAGTCGGGGCTGAGCGCGGAGCTCTGATGTGGCCTGGTTGGGTGGGGTTCCTTGGTCCTGAGGAAGGGACTAGCCCAGCCATGTGTGATCTGCCTGCCAGCCTGCCTGGGACTGATTAAGCCGAGCGGGCAGGAAGGCAACAGGAGGGGCCAGCAGCCGAGTGCAAGTCCCCAGTCCGGGTTCCACACCCGCTCTCCACTTCGTTCCGTAGGGTCGAGCATTTCCCCGCCTCTAGGCTCCCAATTCCTACGTTTCTTGGACTCGGAGGGTGGGTCCAGCCAACGAGCACCACTTAACAGCAGTCTTATCTGGAGGCGCTTTAAGAATGCAGGTTTTTGGGTCTTCCCCAGGGCGCCGGGGCGCAGGAATCTGGGATTTTAATGAGCACTCAGAACCGCTGCTCTAGCAGTCTAGACTCCAGGATGACCTCATGCGTCTCTCGACTTCACCGTCTGCGAGCAAAGCCCATCCTAATCCCCTGCATCCTGGAGCGGCATTAACCAGGCGCGCGCGCAGGACGAGCAGCCGGCACAGCTGGCCCCGCCCCCAGGCGCGGAGGGGCGGCACGGGGCGGGCGCGCTGCCTGGTGGGCGCGGGCCGGCCAGTGGCCCTGGGAACCTGGCAGCGATGGTCACTGCCGAGCGAGGCCTCTGGGGCTCGGCCGGGGCGGAGCCTGCCCGGCAGCATGTCCGGTGGGGACCCCCCCCTGGGGGCCTGGGGGCCTGGGGACCAGACCTGGACTCGGGGAAGTGACAGAGACCTGCCGTCCAGTGTAGACCCCACAAGCCCTGCCCTGCACAGAGGCCTGGGAGGGGAAGGGACCCCCAGCTCAGCCAGAGCTCGGCGAGGAGCTGGGCTTTGACCCAGGGCACGAACGCATGGGAAGACTTTGTAATCACATCCAATGGTGTGCCTGCCTTTTGGACACTTCGGGTTTTTATTGACACTTTCTTCTTTTCTTTTTTTAAAATATATTTTTATTGATTTTTTTACAGAGAGGAAGAGAGAGGGATAGAGCGTTAGAAACATCGATGAGAGAGAAACCTCGATCAGCTGCCTCCTGCACACCTCCCACCGGGATGTGCCCGCAACCAAGGTACACGCCCTTGACCAGAATCGAGCCTGGGACCTTCCAGTCCGCAGGCTGATGCTGTATCCACTGAGCCAAACCGGTTAGGGCTTATTGACACTTTCTGAGGACATAAGTACACCCCCCCCCCCCCAGGCTGACTAGTCAAGGAAAAGGGTGAGCTTGGAGCAGGTCTGTGAGGCGGGAGAAGGTGGGATGCCCGCAACTGCTGCAGACGGTGGGATGCCACATGGGTGCGACTCCCCGCCGTCCTGTCATCAGCCCAGTGAGCCTCTGCCCCTCCAGCTGCCAGTGATGGCGCATGCGTGAGGTCTCAAGGGTCTAATGGGCACACTATGTAGACTGTGGAGTATGATATCAATAGTAGATTGGAAAGCTGCCTTGCATCATGGAAAATACCAGAAAGGGAACGGATCAGGTGAGGGACAGCTGGAGGGCCAACTAGTTGCCCGGTGCAGAGTAACCTTTTCTGCTGACCGAAAAGCCTTTGTCACCCACAAGCAAAGGAAGGGTAAGACACCCGCGAAATGACTCAAAGGCAGGCTTTGCATACCCAAACAATGAGCAGTGCGAGGTCAGACTGCTCTCTGGGAGTGATTTTCGGTGTTGAAGGCAGACGCCTTTCTTCGGGGTTTGGGGAGACGTCACCCATTTCGATGGCACGCGGCCTACATACCACACACAGGAGGTTCTGAAACGGAGGGTGAGGAGACGATCCCAGTCGGTTGGATGCCTAAACCTTCTGATCTTTTCTGACGTCTTAATCACAGCTTCAGAAAGCTCTGTGCTAGCTTTGAGCATTCCCATGATTCTGTATCAGACATGGTTCCAGGGAACGTCTTCCAACTTTGAAGTTTAAGGGAGGAGGGGCGTGTGTGTGTGTGTGTGTGTGTGTGTGTGTGTGTAGTTACAGCCTGTTTGCCATTCCAGTTCTTTCTCAACGAGTTTACCTCTCTTGTTAGAGGTCCTGGGGATTCTGCACCCAGGAAATGAGGAAATGAGACCCTTGAGTCTCAGATGTCAGATATGGGGGGAGCCCAAATGTATTGGAAGGCTCCGCTCCTTCACGTAAGGGGGTGCACAGGACTAGAATCGGGTGGGGGAGATCACGGTCCTGTCTGAGAGGGTGAGCACAGAGGATGTGACCAAAGTTTCTAGGGAAAAACGAACTTTGGAAGGCAGATTTCAGGTTCCCAGGGAAAATTAACATTTTCAAGGACACCCACCCCTCAACAGAGGCATGGCTTCCTCTCAGGAATCTTGCAAGACTGGGAGGGTGGGGCTGGGTGGAGGGAATGAGAGAAGGCTCAGATGTTGAAATCACACTAGGGGATTGAAGCTGGAATTACTGAACTAAGCTATTCCAGAACCATCTATTATTCCGAGGCTCCCTACAACACTGTTTACATAATCACCAATTTTAACGCTTAGAGGGTATCTTCTCCTGCTTGAAAATGTGTTTCTATCTTGAGGGGAAGAAATCACAAGAGTGGAAATTAGAGGCTAGTAGGGAGACTCTCGCTACGAAGGGTGAGGAGACAAACCCTCTGACCTTTCTGGATGTCTTAGCCGTAACTTCAGAAAGCGATCGTTCTCTGTGGGCTGTGTTCCACTGGTGTCGCCTGCGTGGCAGGAGAGCTAGAGCAACTTTCGGTGAAAAGCCAAATAGGGATTCTTATCTAAAGACTCTTCTATGGAAGCCCTGAATCCGTATGCATCTCACTTTCTGTCTACTGCCTTCTTTCCTCAGAATTTCTCCCAAGTTCATTACTGTCACAAATGTATTTTCTAGTCTGTGGGCATCAAGACCTGGATACTTTTCATTTTCTTACAAGGCAGGCAAAGGCGGTATCTTTAACGTCGTCCACCTGAACTTGACTTTGGAGTGACCTGAACCTGACTTTGAGGTGACCTTCAGGGGGAGACTCCCTGTATTCAGGTCCTATCCCAAGCAGCGCCTCTCGTCTCGCATCACTAGGAGCAGATGTCACAGGAGCTTCACTTTCTAAGACCCCAGTCCTCCCAAGTCCTGTTTCCTGAGACGTTGCCTACCTTGTCTTTGAATCCAGAACTTTAGATTCACCACAAGAAAGACAGCTCTCTAAAGGGCACTCTTGAGTCTTCTCATGGCAATCCGAGACTTTCCCCCGGGCCACGAGGTTAAGAAGCCGCCGAAGGAGATAGATGCCTTTGCATGGCTGACCTCCCCGGTCTGTGGGGGGTGGCCCAGGGGTTGAGGAGGCCCCAGCCCTGTGGGGAGGCTCAGTGGACTGTTCCAGAGGGGAGAGCTGGGAACATGGAGTGGCAGGCGGCTA